AACGATAATTTGATTTCACTTTGATAATCACTTTTGAGAGTACCTAATTTCCCTGCTTTTAGTCACAGGAGTTGCACGAAGGACAGTATGTTAAGGCTCATGAGGCATGACTTGACTTAACTCGAAACATGCACGGGCTGGATCATTGCCGTGTTGAGCGTGGAAGCCATGGACTTCAGTTGACCAATTTCTGCTCCTTTATTTTTGCAGAACAGCTCAACTGATCCATTTGCAATATGATCTGAAACAAGCACCTGTCATCAGGTCTTGCCAGATGGGAAAATGCAGATGTCATATACGCACGATTCGTTAAAAATAGTCGTAATGCACAGCTGAGTGCTCTACCGAGAAGAAAAGCCATAAAACCTTCACGTTTTGCCAATAATCTCTACATCCAACTTATGGACAAGTAATTTTAATCTTCTCTACTGATATGGCTGTCAAACCTGTCAGATTTCTCCCTCTGACATCTCCGCTTTTTGCCTATGCAAGTATTTGGGATTTGCACTAACAAGATTAAAAATTCTAATTCTAGAAGAATCTTTTATTTCACATAGATTTCATTAGTGGGTTAGGTGAGAAGCAGACATCGAATCACCAGATACAAACTTCTGAAAGGTCAGGAATCGCGCATTCATGGCAGTCTTCCCACTGGCACTGACCTTAAGCGCCACTTGACCGAAGCAAAACCATTGCCGGGCTATCCACATCACCAGTTCGTTTGATTGCATCCACTTTAGATAAAACATTATCGGAGGTTTTTTCTTCCGTGTAAACCTCGTTTTTACTAGACACACTTGGTTCTTTCTCTGGGATTGTTTACACAACTGAAGTGGAATAAGATCAGCTTGACAACTTATCCGATAACCATGAGGCGACATTGAAGGTCAAGACATCTTCCCGCTCTTCTCCTGCGTCATTCACATGAATGTCCTATGGTAAATAAAGTATGGCTTTCTGTTTTCTTCATATAGCTTGTCGGCACTTTATGCTCGGAAGGTTATAAATTTGCTATGTGTGGCGTGGTCTTCAAGGAGGGCTTGCAGCCTGCCAGCATTCTAGCTAGATTTTGAAAAGCTGCTAATTTCATGTTCAGGAACTCAAGCATCCAAATGCGTTGTACAGGTTCCAAATATTCCTCAACTATGGTAGTGACGAACAATTGCCTGACGATTTCCACGCCCAGAATTGATGTAAGATAAACGTGTGAAGCACGATGTACGGCCATCGAATGTGGGTGATACTGCAACGTTACACTGCCACCGATGCCAATTGAGGGGGAGATAAGTGCTGGGAATGCTGAAGAAATGGATGCTGCCTACATGCGGACCATCAAAAACACAACAATGAAAATGGTTTGATCGCTCATCAACTGACTGACCGACTATCCTATGCGTAGTACTGTTAGTAGGTCGAATCAACGCATCATTGGTCGTTGCCAAGCCGTAAACTCATCACTCACCTATCACAACCTAACCCACTTCAACACACCCAACCCAAGCCACTGTACCCCACACCATCCCTCACCATCCCACACCATCTTATCCCCTCGCATCTATTCCTATCACACTCTCCTCATGGTGAAGTACATCTAACCTTCGTGCACGAAAAGCGTTTTAATGGCCTCGCTGCCATCCACTTCCCCTGATTGGACAACATCACTTACAAATGGCCTTTAAATGCCCCATTAACCATCGAGAAGTCAAGGCCAATCAAAATATCGTAAACACGCACGTAGTGGACCATCCTGTGTCCCTAGCAGTCACTGAACAGATACCCATCACACACCACAATGCCCTAGCTTACTCATACGAGGAGGCGATGAACACTTTCGTATTGAAGTCTTTGCTTTGATTAACCGAAATGGCGGCGCGACAGAGTGGAATCCGCGTTCACTGACGTATAAGGCGAAGTTAATTTGACAACGCGTAGCCACGTGTCATGTTCTTCCTCATTTCCACGTCACTTATCTATTGTGAATCACATCAACTTACCGACAATCATTTAGGCGTTATTCATCCTCACCCGCACTGCGTATATGCACAGAGGTCAAGGGCATCACCGATTCGCATACATGAACTTGAGACTAACCAATGGAGCTCTCGCAAATCCAAAAGGATATATAGATCCCAACATTCTATGTGATGAAAGAACGGAAATCTGAAACCCACTACTAACGTGTTGCATTAATACCTACTCCAATAAAAGATGAATTATAATAAATACATTGCATAAAACAATTGTTAATAGACGAGGTAAGTGGGGAGAAATGGGAACACATTAGTCCTCTCATGCCTTGGTGAATGGGATGCGTAACCCTGACTTTATGACCTAGTCAACGGTTGTTCGAGTCATACTAATGTGTAAAGAGGAATTCAAGCACTGTACATCGAGTTGTGGTGATGGCACTGCTAAACAGTGAGCAGTGAGAAAAAGACGGGTGTGCATTTTGGAGTAGCATAGCCTCTGTTGTCATTCCTGTAAGCATTCAACCAGTTCTTGAAGCACCTATTTATTCTCTGATGCCCGAGATGGTTTACTTCTCCTGCTGAAGCATTCCACTTCAAGGGGTAATCAGTGTCATCTGTTGGCTAGAGATTACGATAAAAATGCATACACGAATGTAGCAGACAAGCTTGTAAAAACAAATGAAATTGTCTTTGTTTAAATGAAATGATCCTTTACATTACTGAAACATAAAACCTTCACACTCCTGCCTTTTTATCGTCCAAGTTGATGGACAGCTAGTGGAGGCCACCAAACACTACCTCCTTCGTCTCCACCCTCTGTCCTTCACGTTGTCCGAGGAAAGAAGGCAAACGTGTGCGATGGTGGCTAAATCATGCTGTAGTAGAAATTTGGCGATTCTGTAACGTCACCGGTAGGCTGATCGCATTCGCCCTTCCCTCCAATTCGAATGGTAAATTCACACTCTGAAACAAGTCAAATGGATTGCCTTTTATTCTGTCATAGCGATTTATTGTGGAATAGCACTTATAGGCAGTTTGATTTGGTGAGTTGGAGTAAGAAAATAATTGACGTGTATCCAGGGATGGAGAATTTGTCGGCGTTGTTGGCCCTATTATGGAAAATGCAGAATCGTGAAACAAAAATAATCACTAGGACTCAACCGAAAGAGGAAAATTGTGTATGGGAGATGGCCGCAGAGCAGATGAGAGACAGCGCAATCTCATGAGAATGAAGTGATGCGAACGGTGGAAGTATGCTGTAGGGTAGAGCAGTGTGCTGTGGGATGGGATTGTGTGGGGCAAGCTGAGATGGGGTTAGTCCTCTTGATTTAGGCTGGATCAGGTGTGTTGAAGTGGAATGAAATGTGGTGAGTGGTGAGTGGTGAATTGACCTATTGAACACAACAAATGATATGCTCATTCGCCTTACTGATACGCAAACTGCCCACTTCCAATGTTGTGGTTTTGATGTACGTCATGTGAGTGGGATTCATTTCCCTGATTCTACTTCCCTGTCCCTCCGCCTTCTCACTTGGTATCCGTGTGTTTCAGATTCACCCACATTTGATGACTGCTAACAGTTCTGTACACATTCATCACGAGTTCCTTTAGTGTGTCGGTATCGACATGCCACTCTTCGAGAATGCCAAGACTAGAGGGGTTTTCTGAATGTGATGCATCCATCATTCACTAATTCATCACCCGCATCACTTGGAGAAACAGAATTGAACTTGATTCGGGGCACAGCAGGCAAGGTCGAATTACACGTGTCAGGTCGGTTCAATCGAATTTAAACTAAATGAGGCTTGAAGGCTGGACTGTGAATAGGAAATGGCCTATCGTTAGACTGATGTAAAGAGTAGGTGGTGTGTGGCCACCACCGCTGGCAATGAGCCAATTTCAAATCAACCAAATTGAATAATCGAGGTGCTCAAAATAAGCTGCCAAATTTTTTGCTTACCTTGGTCTCAAAAATATTTACATGACAATCAAAAGAAGGGATTGGCTATTTCTAGCCTTATGAACTGGCAGTTCACCAGTGGCAAATACCCTTGACCACCCACTCCACGGATGTGCTTCTCCCTGACCAAAGCCTCTGTCTGTGCGAATTTATCCCAAATTTGAATATAAATACAAATCCTCGATATTTCGAGTTCAAATATATTCATTAGTACCAAAGCAGAAGGGGGATCGGAGATATCGCGCTGCTCCGTAATGTAGTTTTTGGCTCCACTGCATACCCATTTTGACCCCACCTTCATTTTATTCGTTTTATGTAAAAACTCTGAAACCTTGCGTTGATGCTCAGTCAAATCACCTATAATCTAGACGCCAGGTATCAACACCAACACTCAATGGGCCGCCTTATCAACAAGAACGTAGACATAAAATTCAAATATGAAAACAGAAGAGCTCAAATTTCGTGCATGACAGCACAGGGACGGGTGTGCTTGACCACACGAAAACACTTGCCTGACTGCATCGCAGTTGCAAAAGGACAAATCCTTCCACTGGAGTGATAAACACAACCATGAGCGGTGTAGCATGGCTTTATAAATCCCTTCACTCTGAAGCGTTTTGCCCAATAGGCAAATGCCGGATTAATTTAAAGTCAATCACTGATAAGATTTGGATGTAGCACTTCTTGGAAAGCCATCTGCACTCCAGTTGGATGGAAACCCCGCCTCTCCTTTGCTTGTTTGCGCTAGGGAAGGAAGTATTCTTAAGTGGATTAGATCGTGGAGATTCGACACAACTCCACAAGTAAATACCTATTTTCCGAAAAAATTTGTTTCTT